AATATGTACTTAATAAATTACCTATTTTATTAAATATAGAAAAAGATCTTAAAACCTATAGAGAAGTTATGGCATCAAGAAATGTAGCATTCTGGAAGAAGGCAATCAATGATGAAATTGACACAGTATTATCCAATAATACTTGGGTGTTAGTGGATTTACCTCCTATAGATTGTAAATGGGTATTTCATAAAAAGTATGATAGTCATTGATCAATACAAACTTTTAAAACTAGATTAGTGGCAAAAGAATTTAGGCAAAAGGCAGGTATTGATTATTTTGACACATATGCACCGATGGTTAGGATAACATCCATTAGAGTACTATTTGCTCTAGCTTCTATTCATAATCTGATTGTACATCAAATGGATGTTAAGATAGCCTTCTTGAATGGTGACTTAGATGAAGAAGTATATATGAAACAACCTAAAGGGTTTGTATTACACTGGAAATGAAAAAAAAAATACAAACTGGTTAAATCATTAGATGGCTTGAAACAAGCACCAAAACAATGACATGAAAAATTTGATTATGTTATATTGTCTCATGGATTTAAGCATAATAATACGGATAAGTGTATTTATTCTAAATTTACGAAAGAATATGATGTTATTGTATGCTTATATGTTGATGATATGCTTATATTTAGGATAAATATTAATGATGTGAATGAAACAAAGAAGTATTTATCCTCACAGTTTAATATGAAAGATTTAGAAGAAGTAGATGCTATCTTGGGAATCAAAGTAAAGAAAATTAGCGGGGGTTATGCTTTGTGTCAATCCTATTATATTGAGAAAATCATAAATAAGAATCAATATTTGGGAATTAAAGAGGTAAGCACCCCATATGAAAATTCACATAAGTTAGTGGATAATTTTGGGAGAGTAATTGCTCAAATTGAGTATGCTAGTATAATTGGTAGCTTCATGTATGAAATACATTGCACTAAGCCGGATATTTCCTTTGGAGTTTGTAAGCTTTCAAGATACACTAGTAATCCCGATGTTGATCATTGAAAAGCAATTTCTTGAGTCCTTGGTTATCTCAAAAGAACTTTGAGTTTGGGACTATCTTATGAGGGTTATCTATCGGTATTTGAAGGATATACTAATACTAGTTGGATAACAAGTGCTAGAGAAAACAAGTCTATGTCCGGTTGGATATTCACTATTGGTAGGGGAGTTATTTCCTGGGTTTCTAAGAAACAGATGTGTATAACTCATTCCACTATGGAATTTGAGTTTGTTGCACTTGGTAGTCGCAGGAAAAGAGGCGGAATGGTCGAGGAATTTATTGCTAGAAATAGAGTTATGGCCACAACCGATGCCAACCATTTCTTTATACTCGTGATAGTGAAACTACTATGTCTAGGGCTTTTAACAAAAATATATAATGGAAAATCTAGACAAATAAGCTTGAGACATAAATATGTCAAACAATTAATTCTTGAAGAAATTACCACAATCTTGTATGCAAGAACAAGTAACAACTTGGTGGATCCGTTTACAAAAGATCTTACTAAAGATTTAGTACGAAAACCTTCAATTGGAATGGGTTTAAGACCACTTATCCTAGAATCACCGAGTAATAGAAACCTAACTTTTCTTTAGTATCGTCATTAGTTAAAAGTTCAACGGGTAAAAACAAGTTACCGATAAGTGGTTGTGGAAGTACTAGGATATTTCACTTATGTTTCGATTCCAATTTATCTAGTACTAATAAAGTTTGGAGGATGAGTTATAAACTCTTAACAAGGATTAAGTTATGGAATATGACCAATATATTCGAACTTAATAGGAACTTCACCTATATAAATATAAGGAGTGGTGCCGCTCCTAGCAAAAGCTCAAGGGTCGACTTTTGAAAATGTTTATGAAAATCTAAGATGTAGCACATGGTCATATAAGTACTAAAAGAATTTTGAGAATTTTAAAAGAAGTTGGATTAGATCACGTGTTTGGTATTTTCAGTTTTAATATAGGCGATATTGGTTCAATCACTTAAGATACCATTTATTCCATTAAGACTTTGAGATATTTACACTAAAAGGAGATTCAAGTCGAGAGACATCTTTCTTTTATGCATGATACTATAAGGACTTAACATTATTATCTAAGTGGGGGATTGTTAGAAATCTTATAAATGTTAGATAATAAGTTAAGTGTACTATGAAGGAAATTTGAAAGTGTTTTCAAGTGGGATTTTTATTCCACATTGGAAAGGAATGGAAAGAAGAGATAGTTTATAAAGTGGACATCTAACCAAACTTTCAAATATTTGATTGAAGTCACTAGAGGAAAAACTAAGCTAATTGATTAGAATTATACACACACACACACACATGTGTGTGTGTGTGTAATCAAAGACGAGCACTTTGCAAGTGCACGTGTGTGATTAAGAAATTTATTTTTATTTATTAATGTAATTAAATTCATAATTATTTTAATTAATTATGTTTTTAATTTTCTCATTGCGATTGGTTGGTTATTAACAACTTTCAAACAAATATAATTGTTTACCTTATGATTGTTAGAATCTAATGGTTATGAGTCCGTTAGAATCCAACGAGTTATGAGTCCGTTAGAATCCAACAGCTTATGATTGTTGGATTATGACCGTTAGAACCAACAGATCACGTATGTTATGAAAAAGTATCGGTAATCTATAAATAGGGAACTACCGCACAGGATAAAATCAATTTTATATTTTTTGCAATCCTCCTCTCCTCTCAAAAATTCTTTTCCTACAAAAAACTTTACAACTTCAAAAGATATTCTCTTAAAGGAATTTCGGGAATGTTGCTCGTAGTTTTTGTGTGCGAAATTATATCCTAGAGGTGAATTGCTAAAAATTTGGTTTTGAACAAATTTTCTATAAAATATATGGTGTTTTTAAGGAGATTTATGAAATCTCCAAAGAAAAACTCTCATGTGTTGGACGTAAAATGTTTTGGATTTGTGTTTGTATGCAATATGAAGCTCCATAATTCTACTTGTCAATTTAATTTAATATTTTTGTATATTGGAGCATTGGTTGCATCTTTGGTGAAATATTGACAGAGAAGCCATCATAGTATAATTTACAAAGAAGGTACATAAATTATCTTATCCTTGCCGTGTTTGTTTATGCTTGGGAGGAGGGGAGGGTCCCCTATAAATCCTGTAGTTCATTGGGGCCTGCTCGCCAACATTTATTGTAAAATGCAAAAGAATGTTGAATAAAAGATAAGTTTTTTTAGTGTCACTGATGACCAAAAAAAAAAATATTATTATTATTATTATGACAAGGCAATGTTGCATATGATCAAGGGAAGCAGTGAAATAAGGTTGTTAATTAGTATAGTGAAGCTATTGAATTGAATGGGGCAAATGCAACTTACTATTCCAATCGGGCAGCAGCTTGCTTACAATTGGGATTTATGGTATGATAGTTTACTTTATCTGTATATGTTTACGGTGTTGCTTCATTCTGAAAGCTTGCTTAATTTACCTTTTGATTTCAATACATTCGTATGCAACTTTCAGAAAGCTGAAGACACTAGTAAGAAGGTGACGAGAGAATTTTTTGCAACCATCTTTCTATAATTTGTATTCTTTTAGGAAAAACAAAAAAAAAAGATTTTTTTTATGTCCAACCTTTCAATTTTAAAATTGATGAATATATATATATATGATATACACATCTAACGAAGGTGTCTCTGGATGGGGAAGCAATCATGCATGGAGACAGAGAGGAACGTGCTTTGTAATTCTGTGTTTTTGGGTGTAGGATTGGATTGGATTGAATTTTTTATGTGAAAATAGGAATTAGGGTTGTTTGCAATGCTTGAAAAAAGGATAGGGGGAGGAGAGTTCAGCAATTGAGGCTTCTTGGGCATTATATACCCCTGATCAAACGGTTCGTTTTGTTTTGAAAACATAAATATTTTCAAAGGATATTCTAGCTATTATGAAAGTTTAATAGCAAAATTGTAATAATTTGAATGCATTTTTTTTTTTTTTTTTTTTTTGCTGAAAACTTGCTTCTTTTAACGGAATCGAAATATAAAATGTTTTTTAAATAACATTTAAATAGTTAGAATGTAAAGTATAATTTATAAAAGTATAGGATACAAAGTATTACCCTAACTAAATCATTTGGTTTTTGAGGTAATTTATAGAAGAAAAAAAATACTATACCTGTTTAAAAAAGATAGTCTCTTTTGACATTTTACAGTTTAAGAAATTTATTAATCATTAGGTCATCTCAATATTTTTTTATTCATATTTTCCTAAAATGTCATTTTTTTTAAAATTGTTAGTTATCAAATTTAATTATATATTACATGAAACCAATATTAATTTTAAAAAATAAGGTGGTAAATAAAAAAAGCATTAAATTAATTAATTAAAAATTAATTTTAAAATAATTATAAAATATAATATACAAATAGAAATATATTTACTCTTAAAATTTCAACATGTAGTAAAGTTTTTATAAAAATAAATATTTTCATGTAATTAAAAATATTAAAAATCTTTATTTGAAAAGTATTTGTATGTATTCAAAAGTATAAAAATATTGATATTTTGAAAAAATATATATATAATATTTAAAATTTTATTCAAAAAATTATTATTTTTTTTTTAAAAAAAAAACCAACTAGAAGAGCACTTTTGCTTATTAGGCAATTGAATTAAGTAGCGGAGGCCGATATGCTCACAAGACTAACCTGTCTGTAATCTAACCTTTTGAGCGACTTTAAAGCCCAAATCCAAAAACACGCCTGTCTTCCCTCTCTATCTCTTTCTGTCTATAAATTGGCCTCTGCTTTTCGTTTTTAGGAGTCCGTCTTTTTTGTTTCCCTTGTTTTATTTTCCAAAAAGAAAATGAAAAAACAAAAAATGTTTTAACAAACATTAACCGCAACAAACAAACTGATTTTGATTGTTAAAATAGCGCGTCTGCTTCGAAATTGAATTGTTAGTTGCAAAAGAAGAGAGCAGTAGAGTGAAGTGATGGGTCGCCCTCCCAGTAATGGTGGTCCTTCCTTTCGCTTCATGCAGAATGAGGTATACTATCTTTTCTGTCATTATTTTTTTTTCTGGATGTGGATTGAATTTAAAGTTGGAAATACGAAGTGGGCTGGTTTTATTTCTGGATTTATGTGCTTGATTGATCTGGTTTCAATTAGCTGCTTCTTCTTTTTTTAATTACAATATACGATGTTTGCTTGTTCTGAATTGTGTATCTTATGTCACTTGTGTTTAATTTCAACAAATTATATTTTGTCTAATTTTTAAAGTTGTAAGTCTGGATTTTTTTTTCAAGTAAAGTTTCTGCGGATTTGGGGAGGTTTAGGTTCTATTTCGTTCTGTATAAACAATCAAAGCATCTTGATAAGAGCTAACGCTATGATATCGTTCTTTTTTTTTTTTTTGTTTTCTTCGACTACTAAAATAAAATCTTGGGATATTATCTCACTTGATCCAAGTGTGTTACATTGGGATTGATCTTCTTCTGGAACTCTAGGCTTCAGACCAAAAAAAAAAAAGACAGACTGACTCCCGTCCTCCCCATGCTTTTTTTTTTTTTTTTTTGGTCCCTCCCTTTTCAGGAGATGAATTGAACTTATAAAACGTTTCCTTTTATGGTAGTATATTTTGTGGTTGTGATTTTAAAGTTTTTGAGTAATGTTTTGTGCTGTACCCTTCTTTCAAGGTGACAGAGATGGAAGCTATTTTGCAAGAATACCATAACACGATGCCAGCTCGTGAGGTTCTTGTATCTCTTGCAGAGAAGTTCAGGTGTGTGTGTTTTTCTTTCAAGAACTTACCCTATTTAATTTTTTCCCAGATTAAAATTATGAGGTATTTATGTCTCCTTGTAGTGAATCTCCGGATCGAAAAGGGAAGATTCAAGTGCAAATGAAACAAGTAAGACGCATTAAGTGCATTTCTTTCCTGTATGATTAGGATTTATTCAAAGCTCGTCTCTTAATTGGAATACTATTTGTAGGTTTGGAATTGGTTCCAAAATAGGCGATATGCAATAAGGGCAAAATCCAATAAGGCCCCAATGAAGTTAAATATAACACCTATGCCTCGTGATGATTCAGCTGCAGCAAGAGGTGTGCCTCAACAAGTAGCTGCTCCTATACCTGGTGCTGTGCCTGCAACTACGCCTGCTTCTTCAGGTAGAATGAATTCTGAATTGTTGAGGACTTCTCTTTTTTAGTCTTGTGCTTACCTATTAGGTCTTTTTTTTTTTTTTTTTCGGCACTTCTCAACTTGGGATTGAAGATGCAACCTGGTTTGATTAAGTAATTTCTTAATTTACTATCATTTGAGTGTTGCCATTTAATATTTTACTGTCGGTGATGGGTATTGCATATGATTATGCTTCACACCTAAGCATGTGCTTGGGTGCACACACACCCCATATGCTTGTGTAACGTAAATCGTACTGTATATACAATCACTTTGTTTCTATCTGTGTGAAATAGTTTTGCTTATTGCTGTCTTTAGGTACTTTTCCAACTCTGTGTTGCTCGGGCTGAAAGCAGGGCCTTCCTGTAGCTTATTTATCAGTTGCCCTGCTTCTAAATTTTTATAACTTAATATTCATTTTTCTTATTCTTTTGCTTTCTTCCTTTGTTAAAATCCTTTCTCTACCCTCATATTTTCTTGTTTCATAGTAATCATATACTAAAATAGTAGTATCTATTAAATCCACATTTGCATGTACTTAAAAACAGCTGAGATCATTGAGTTTTAACAATTGCTTATTCGCCCACTTTTTTGTCCCTCCTACACTTCTTTGTTTTCTATAATGCCTTGATGTTTTTTTAGTACTCTTTGGCACAGGTTTCACTTGAGTTTCGACTTGTGAATCGGAAAGCCCATTTTCGAGATGAATCATATCAAATCTGGAATCCCAAGATTCAGTAACAAATGAAAATGGCACTATAAAAGATAAATAACGTACTAAATATTTCTAAAATAAAGGAAAAATGATCATTTCCTAAACAAAATGTGCAGCGATGCATTTAATTTATTTGTTCTTAGTCATTAAATGACCCCGAGTCTCAAAATATAACATATTGTTCTTTGGCACTTGATCATTCTAACAACTCAAAAACTTATAATACATCTAAAGCTACCTTCTTGCTAGTTAAACTACGACAGTTCCTAGTTTTAATAAAAACTAATTATCTTTCTTAATAAAAAAATATCGCCTTTGCCATTCCTGTTGTCTTTGGAACTCTTGCTTTCTTTCACCCTTTTCTTTCTTTGTAAAAATTTAATATATGATACATTTCAGTTTCGAGTAGAAATATTTATCAAAGAAAATTACATATACTTTGTTATCATCCATGAATTCTAGACCAAACCTTCCTATTCTTACCATCTCTATTAAAATTATGCATTTAACTTTCATTTTCTGTTTGAGTTCACTCACAAAATTCACTGAATCACACTGAATTGATCGTTACTGAATCACAAGATTTATATACATTGGAGATTCACCCCACAATTGATATCATTTTGTATGTGAAGTAATTTGAATCGTGAGGTTCAAACGACCATGCTTTTTGGTATGAAAGGAGCCACAACCATCTTCTGCAATGTCTCAAGTAGAAGATTCCAAAATCAGACAAATAATTTAGCAGCAGACTTACCATCTGACACACTTAGCCACGGTTCACTTGCTATCTTTTCTCCTGCCGTCAGCTAAATACCTCTCTAATCTCAGTATTATTAACCATTGATATTTCCCAATTCATGGCCACACACAAGAACCCACACAGTGCATAAATCTCCATAGAACAACAAGACAATCAACAAACTAGCAACGAAAGTCCAACTCGAACTCCAAACAGCCCTGTAAAGTCTATTCAGGTGTATTCACAAACTGATGTAGAAGCACCTTTATTTCTCAAAAATAAGGGGGAGGGGGGGGGGGTGTGGGTCGCGGGTGCCTTTTGTCAAAGAAACAAGTCATCGGAACACTTCAATGTTTTATTTTCCATAAAACAGATATTCTGTCAAAACCAAAACTTGGAAAAGTAAAATTCAAACCAATTAAATACTATTATATTTTCAAGATGAACTTGAAATGGTAATGTGTTGTGTGTGTGTATGTGTGGACTCATGCTTAGATTGCTCATAATCTGATCAGTGGAGTGTGAACCACATAGGCTCTGAAGCTTACATTTCTGTGAAACTATCCATTTTTATGTTCCTTTGTACTTTCTCCATGCTTCACAATCATTTTCAAATAATCGATTTTGTTTCCTTGCATCTCCTGATGCCCATGGTTAGCAAATTTTCCCAAACTGGTGATTTAAATGCTACTGTCGGTCCTGATTAGACATTGAGAAGCATCATTAAACTTCATCTCTATATTAAAGCTGAAGAAAATATGCAACCTGTTCTTAGCGCCTTTGCAGAACTCTTTTTTGTTAGATACTTACATCTGTAATGTACATTTATTTGGTCCTCGTTTTTATCTGTTGTTAACAGCTGCTGGTGTTGGAAGGGCAACTTCAGAAAACTCTTATATGGAATTTGAAGCCAAATCTGCAAGGGATGGTGCATGGTGAGAATTTAATGCTTTTCTAGTTGAGGATTCAAGCAGTTGAGATTTTAATGCTTCTTCCTGTTCTATTTGATACTTAATATTTCCTTCCTTGGTGGAAGGATTACTTGATTCACTTCAATTTTGTTTCCTCTTTTGACAGGTATGATGTAGGAACCTTCCTATCCCATAGATACTTGGACAAGGGGGATCCGGTAATATATCAACTCATTTTTCCTGCATATGGTAATGCAATGGTTAAGATGAACTAACTCTGGATATATTTTAGTTGTCTGCTGAGTGCAAATACTTCTATTATTGTCATTTTGTCATCCATGCATCCACTGCATCTTTTTATCATTGATTAGATAACTTATTTTCGATTTTCTTTCTCTGAATAAAATTCTTTGAGATGGTTCAAACTTCAGAACTAAGTACATGTGAACCAATATCCGTATTCCATTGCTAAATTGTTCACTGTGTTAAAAGATTCGATTTCATGGCATAGAAGCTAAGTTTCAACATTGTCACTAGGCTTAGAAGGAATAATCACAATATTTGAGTTGATGGCCCATGAAAATGTTAAGATTGCTATTTATCTGGTTAGTATGAACCTATTCCCCAAGAGAATTTGATAACTGCCGATGACACTTTGTTCAATATTTTGTCAATATTGACTTTTCTGGCTGCTTGATACACAGGAACAATTGTGCCCATTTTTTGGGATACTTCGCCAATCTTCTTTGCTAATGTCATGTTCTACTGTTTCTGGCCATTTCAGGAAGTATTGGTTCGGTTTGCTGGTTTCGGACCAGATGAAGATGAGTGGCTTAATGTTCGCAGACATGTCAGGCAACGGTCTCTCCCTTGCGAAGCATCAGAATGTGTTGCAGTTCTTCCTGGAGACCTCATCCTCTGTTTTCAGGTCAGAACATCTACTTGTGAATGAAAACAAATAATTGATTAAACCAATTTTAGATGAAACTATTAGGAATATCCTTTTAAAATGCATTTTAATTTTCAGGAAGGCAAAGATCAGGCTCTGTATTTTGATGCTCATGTTCTTGATGCGCAAAGACGAAGACATGATGTAAGGGGTTGCCGTTGTAGGTTTTTGGTGCGTTATGATCATGACCAGTCTGAGGTATTTTTACTTTTCTTTCTTTTTAATTTTGAAATGCATCTTTCCTGTTTCTGATGTACAAAGCACAATGGTTTACCCATTTCAATATATGACCAGTGTAATGCTAAAGTTTTTTGTTAATAGTTTGGGTAATCACTTAAACTAGGATCATTTTCATCCATCTACAGAACTTCTTTGCTTCCATTCCTTAGTATTCAATTCCCATTTTACTTTTCATTTCCTCTACTCAATGGACTTCCTCGGGGGGGGGGGGGGGGGGGGGGCGGGGGTGAGGAAGAGAACATAACAGCGGGTTTCAACTGTTGGAACTAAATGTATGCATGTGGTTGATCTCACATAAGCTAAAGAATTTTTTCTTAGTCTTTGCTGGAAAAAGATTGGTGTTGGTTAAAGTTCCTCTTTATTTATCACTTTGAAAGCAATTTCATTAAAGAAGCTCGAGTTTTGAGTATATGTTTGCTACTCAAATGGAATCATGTAAACTGTCAAGACTTTTTTGCATGCTATTTCTGGCATTACTGAAAGAAACGCCAAGAAATGTAGTTTTTTCTTTTGAGTGTGCAAACTGAAATATTCTCTTGATTATTGCTTATTGAACGGGAATAATATTCATGAGTTTTTGCCATTGTAACTTCAGTGAAGAAGGAATTAATGTTTTCAGCATCTTTGATATGAATGTAGTTCGATTTAGAACATGATTTGTCATCCTTATGAGCATATTTATCACATGCATGTATCCACATTACTGTTTTTCTTTCTTTCTTCCTTTATTTTATTTTATTTTTTTCTTGGGAGTAATTCTGAAGATAGTAACGACCGTACAAATCATTTTTAACTAAATAACGTGGCATCTATTATGTAGAAACTTTTTTTATAATGACAACATGGCTTTTAGCAAGTGTAATGTGACATTACCATAATTGAATGACCTAATTAAAATAGCAACCATCTTAAGCTGTCACGTCAGTGCAATAGAAGTTCTCTAAAGCTCTTTATCTTCTGTGGCTAACAGTTTACTTAAAGGCATGGTCAATGTGGGGGCATATTAACTAACCATTTCTTTATTCTGCACGATCAAGTTCATTAGCCTTCATTAGTTTGGGATGTATGATGTTTATCTGGTTCTTAATCTTGTGTTCCTCAGGAAATTGTGCCGCTGAGGAAGATTTGTCGTAGGCCTGAAACTGATTATAGGTTGCTACAACTTCATGCTGCAAATGACTCAGCAGCTACTGACCAGAAGAAAACTAGTGTAGATCCTTCCACAGCCAATGCCCAACCAACATCGCAGCAACATAACGCAGATGTAGCCACAGCGGCTCCGGTTTCACAAGCCAATGTTTCTCAACCTGTGAAAGCATTATTTGCGGAGCCAAAAAGGCTGGAACCATCAGTGCTGTCAATACTGGAAATCCTAGTTTTATCTCCACTGCTGGTTTTCCCAGTGTTATCACCACTGCTGCTGCGATGGCGAGTGGAACTGCTCTGAGCAGTGGTCCTGGCAGCTCAGGAGAGAACATGCAGGGAATTAAATTGTAGTTTTATGCACCTTCATTGTTGCTCTGTTTCTTGATGAGCTAGATTTCCCCACAATTAGAGGGGACATGATCCCCGTTGTAATGATACAGTAAAGGTTATTCCCGTCCATGTACAAGAATAGCAACTACATATTGGAATTTAGTCCAATTTTATTACCTCTTTGGGCCTCTAGGCCTAAATCAAGATGAAAGAACCTACTTCATTAACAAGTCTATCCTTTTCTCCCACCTACTGGTGATTAAAATTTGCTTTAGTGATTGATACTTGGTGCGTTCATTTTAACAGCTACCGCCATTCTCAACCTTGTTCTCTCTCTAGGTGCTGTAACGAAATAAATTTGGGGGTGCAGGTGAAAAACGCATATATCTAAGACACGAAGAAATTGACAGTTGGGTTTCCAATTGCCATGCAATGGCAGCAGTATCGTATCAAACATTAAGACTCTGTTTGTCATGGAAAAAAATAAGTTTTAGGAATTTTTTTTTCATTTTCTTTCATTTTTCAATATTTGTTTTGCGTTTAAAAAAAAAATCAAAGGAATTTGATTTCTATTCAACGGAATTTGATATGCTAATTTTGGAAAGTGTTTTCTGAGTTAAAAAAGAAAAAAATATTCTCTCTCAAAAGTTGTTTTCGTATTACTTATACCTCTTTTAATATATTTTAATAATTTTTGTCTCTATCTCTTGCTTTATTTAAAATATATTAAATTATTTTTTAATTATTTTTTATTAATTATAATTAAATATTTGCTTTCTCTCAAAAGTTGTCCGGCTTTCACATTATCTATCTCTCTTTTGATATATTTCAATAATTTTTTTATCTCTTTTTTTATTTAAAATATATCAAATTAATTTTTAATCATTTCTTATCAATTATTTTTAATTATTTACTTGTTTTTTTTCTCTATTTCTACTAACATTTGATTTTTTTATTTATAAATACATTAAATATTCTTAAAAACTATTTTTACACCTTAAAATTATTTTTATAATAAATATTTCAATAATTTATCTCTATTTTTTTTTACCGTTATTCCAAATATCACATTAACTATACTCAAATTATTAGAAATGATTATTATAAGACTGCAACCATTTGTAAAAATTTTAAAAATAATTAATTATTTTTTTATTTTTTTATGTTTTTTAATACTATTCATTTGCAACTAAATTAATAATATGTGATTAATTTTAATCAGTTGTAAAATTGTTGGTAATTGTAGTCAATAATTAGTTACAAATTATTCCAACATTAATCTTTTGAAACTAAATGAATAATTATTTACAAATGATAACTAATAATTTGTAAAACTATTTTTTAGACTAAATTATCAGTTTAATTTTCAAAAAAAAAAAAAATTGAGTTACCAAAATAACAATGTTAGGAATGCTTAGAAATTTTTTACTAAATGTGAATATTGACTTAATTTTGTTCTAAGTATTTTTGATGAATTCGTTTAATGGTTAAAAATGTATACTTTATTTTTTGAATTTAAATCTTAGAATCGGTATTAATTTTTTTTTAAAATGCATTTTATATTGTGAGATTGTAAATATGTCTTGTTGAAGTTCCATCAAAACTCGTTGATGTAACAATCACAGTCTATTTTTTTATTTAAATTTTTTATATCAAACAAATATTAGAATATATTTTCTAGTAATTTTTTGGAGAAACAAACAAACAAACGGAGCCCAAAATGAAAATGAATGTCTTGGAACTGTAATGGCAACGTGAACGAGAAATCCAATTATAGGTCCAAGAAAGGGCAAGAAAGGAGTAGAAGTCAGGTTTAGACTTAGGGCCCAAACATGGAAAACAAAGCAAGCAAGAGTACAGGGCAGGGGGTAGCAGAGAGTAGTAAAAAGCAAAGCAAAGTCAGTCTTTGCGGATACAAACAGAGCCACGTTCCTGACCCTCACTCCCTTAGGCTTCTCTCCTATTTATTCCATTCCTCAAATCTAATGCACTTGAACCAGAAGCTGTCGCCACGTCTCCTTTCTCCCATAGAACCAAGAAAATGCAAATCTTGTCAAGAACAACAACTCCTCACACCTTCAAAACTTGTCATTCTTATGAATTCTTCAAGTCTGTTTTTGTTAGATTCATCGTCACCAGTTGCAGGGCCGTTGTAATCCCCCGTTTCGGTGGACCCGAGGTGCTACAGCTTCGCTCTGATGTTGATGTCCCTCAGCTCAAACCCAATGAGGTCCTGGTTCGAGCCCGTGCTGTTTCAATCAATCCACTTGATACTAGAGTGAGTTCTTGTCTTTCTACTAGTTTCTTGCGTTTTAGGTGTTCGTTTATTTGATTAGATTGCAATTGGAAGAACAGAAAATATTTGGAAATGTTGAGCTGATATTTGGGACTTCTTTGTACAGATAAACTGAAAATCAGGTACAAGTAATCATATAAGAAATCTTGCGGTCCTCTGTAATTTTACTGAATATGATCATAGATGGTGAGATTGATATTTGTAAACTCCTTGTTATGCTGGTTTCTTTTTGGATTCTGATGGATAAGACCTTAGTGTTGTTTCATATGTTATGAAAAACCGAATTAGTTCAAATAACGACTGAATAATGGCATTTGTTACTAACTCCTTGTTAATAGTTTTCCAAGTTATCAAAGATAATACATTACTCGTCGATGTGCCTGTAGACTATCAATGTTTTGTAGAGAATAATCAAGATCCTCTTCTTATTTATCCTGAGTACTGTAGAAAAACTCTATTAAATAGAAATAAAGTAAAAAATGGTCCAAGCATTTAATGTCATGGGTCTTTCAATTCACCCCATAAGGAAAATGTGAGCCCCCAAGACATTTTCATGCTTTCTTCAAGGTTTCATCAGCTACTCTCTAGAAAATGCAGCAGTTGCATGGTGAAAGGCTGCTGTGACCTGCGAGAAGTTTATTAAGTGGATTTTATGGAGCATCTGAAAAATACCATCTGAGAGCGACAGATTTGAAACTAATTTACTAAATATTTTAACTTCCATGCTGCTTAAAACCCTATGCTTGTATATGCTCAACTTAATCTTATATCTGTGAAGCGTGGAAACATGTTTGGACATCCACAAGAATGATGGATATTGAATGTTTGAAAATGTTAATGCTTTCAGATGCGATCAGGCTATGGTCGTTCCATATTCGAACCCCTTCTACCTCTAATTTTGGGTCGTGATATTAGTGGTGAAGTTGCAGCAGTTGGAAATTCTGTGCGGTCATTTGGCATTGGACAAGAAGTTTTTGGTGCATTGCATCCAACTGCTGTGAGGGGTACTTATGCTGACTATGCAGTTCTGTCAGAAGATGAACTTACGGCAAAACCACCATCACTTACGCACGTGGTATGTGTTTCACAATTGGGTATTTGTAGGTGTAGAATTATGTCTTATGTTTCTGCATGTGTTCTGGTTGGCTCAAAAATGTCTAGCAACTGGATTGAGTGAACAGTTTGTAGCAGAAATATTATGCATTTTTCCTCTCAAATGTGCATACTTGGGCATGATTGGTGATCGACTTCTTGTTGTTTTAGCCAAACATAATATATACACAGACATGCTTGCACACACTGGTGTATATTTGTATTTGTCAGGAATCCCATCGAGTTTTGAGCTACATTAAGGGGTAGCTTTTCTCCTCATTCAGTCTCTTTCATCCTGGATGTGAGCAGAATTTAATTCTAGGTCACTTTGAGCATTTCGAAGAGTCTTAAACCAACGAGCTTGCTAGCATTCATACATACATGAGCTTGCACCATGCAGATGCTCAAACATGTATAGAGATATATGTATAAGTAGAGATATAAGAGTATAGGTAGAGATTTATGAGGAAGGTTATTATAATCTCTTTTTAACTAGGATCGATGAGAGATCAAAAAAATCAGATCTTAAAATCTTAAGATTTTATAAATTATGAAAAATGCAATTTAGCAAATAGAAATGTTGCTTTTGAAATGATAATAAGAATCAGATGATTCTAATTTTGAATATCTTGTGTTTCAATTTTGTTGAGTGAAAATAAGAACCAAGTGATTTTATAATTTAATTATGAAAAATTAGATCACATAATTATTGTTATGTATACAAATAATTATATGTACACAAATAATTATACTGTTTACCTTTTCTTATGAAAGAAAAAATACTCATAAATTGATTTGGAGAGCAATCAATTCTAATGTCTTTTTGTATGTCTATGCAAAGTACAGAAATAAATTAGGAGACTTGAATAAAATAAAATAATATAAAATAAAACCTTGCACAAATAATTAAATAAATCGCACATGACAAAAATATTAAAGGAGAAGGTGAAACAAGGGATATAATCATAAGAATGATCAATAAAACCTTATCCAGATTGTTCCTTTTAACTTTTACAGCTCTTCCAAACCTCAACCAGAGCCACTCACCATGAAACAAAATTCTAGAAATACAAGCAACCCACTACAGCTATCTAGCTTCTTGCATGTTTTTATCAAGTAGATGCGAGCAAAAAGCCAATTCTTGATTTGGCAAACCTCTTATTAAAACCAATCAACTGCTCTTTAATGTGCAGAAATAAGCTAGATTTTTAAGGGTGCCCTGACAGCCTCATGCTCGCTCTGCTCTTCTCTTTGGTTAATTCTTTCTTGTTAAGAAGATGACTTCAATTTTTTTTGTTTTAAAAACTATGATGATTTTTTTACCATCACTCTTGTTTGTTGAATTTAACTACAGTTGTTAGAAAGAAAGAAAAACAAGAACCCAGAAAACATCAAAAAGTCGGTATCAGTATAATTGTCTACGAGATCACCATATTAATGATCTTACCGAGTTAAGTAACGATTTTATAACTAGAACCCAGAAACCATCTAAAAGTTGGGATCAGCATAATTGTATAAGAGATCACGATATTAACGATCTTACTAAGTTAAGTAACGATTTTATAACGATCTTATATAGATAAGACTTTTCTGGTGATCCAGCACTCTCAACTCATCTAGCCTCGTAAAACTGCATGATTTAACAATTTAAATCGCTATTTTAATAACCATGTTTATGAGTATAGATGTATAAATATATAAAGTCATGAGCTGGTGTATTGGGAGGAACAATTTGAACATACCTATTCTTTAGCATCTTTGTATTTATGCCTGTCTGTGTGCACTTACACATATATTGACCGATAGAAAGAATCGAGTCCAGTATCTGTCCCCCTATTAGGTATCTTTATTTACTACTGTCCTCTTAACGGTGTTCATATCCTTTTAATCAATGTGACATAATTACAACCAAAATGATTGCCGTCTGTTTTTTTTTTTTTTTACTGTAGATTTTGCATAATTTTTTTGTATTCTCCTGCAGGAAGCAAGTGCCATCCCTTTTGCTGCACTAACTGCATGGCGTGCGTTAAAAAGTACTGCTAGGATAACTGAGGGGTAAGGGTGTACTGTTAAGTGAACTTCACTTGGATCAGTTTTTTTTCTTTTTTCCTCTGTTTCATATCATCTTTTCATGAGAGTCTGACATGTATTTTCTTTTCTTGCTTCTGAAAGTCTTAGGGTTTGTTCAGACTATGGTCCTTGGCTTTTGTCTAAATTTGAATTGTTGTCTTGAGTATCAAACATTCTAATGTGGTCCTCAACTTTTCTCACAATTTTAACGCATCCCTTCTCTCAGAGATCAGCTAACTTTTGTTGACATTGTCAGCAAGGTACTGCACTTGTCATCTGTTGTTTCAAATCACATGAGCAAAACTTAACAAATTTAATGGTGAGAACACATTAAAATTTAAAAAGCCATCTTAGATGGTTTTGTAGTTAAGCCATTTCAAAATCAGCCACTTGTTGAGGGACTGGCCATTCAATCACCTTGTAGATGGCCGTATGTATGATGTTTGAATGTCTCATATTCAAATAATCAATTCTTACACTCGTTTTGTGGAAGACGGTGTAAAATTATGAAATCCAACATGAAAGCTACCATATCTTTAGTAAATTGCTAATATGTCTTCACTAGCAACTTTAATCTAAATTCACAGGCAAAGGGTGTTAGTAGTGGGGGGTGGTGGAGCAGTAGGTTTGGCTGCAATTCAGCTAGCAGCTGCTGCAAGGTGCCATGTTACAACTACCTGTGGAAGTCAAAGCATAGATCGAGTGCGGGAAGCGGGTGCTGAGCAGGCTGTTGACTACACTGCTGAGGTAATGATATATATCATATTTACCCCATACTACCTGCGAATTAAAATTAAGTAGACACGTCAAACCTGTGTTTTATTTAGTTATTACTCATCTAAGTAATTAGGTTTCCAGCTGGAATCATGCTGATTTTTCTTTCTGGTAGATATACTGAGTAGAGACCCATAGTAATATTTTCGTTGGTGAGCTAGCATCTTTGATATGCAGGACATTGAACTAGGAATCAAGGGGAAGTTTGATGCTGTTTTGGACACCATTGGCGTACCAGAAACAGAAAGAATCAGCATCAAGTTTTTGAAGAGAGGTGGACACTATATGACACTTCAAGTAAGATGGAAGCTTGTTATTGGATCTGTTCAAAAGAGATTTCAGAAGCTACTTTCCTAATTCTTCAACAATAGCATTCAAGGATCTTATTTCTCTTGTGTTTCAGGGCGAAGCAGCATCCTTGACTGATAGGTATGGACTAGCAGCCGGGCTTCCTATTGCTACAGCTATTTTAGTCAAGAAACAGATTCAATACCGATACTCACATGGAATAGGTATAGAAATTCCTCTATTACATATTCTTCTAGGCAGATTTGTTCTTCCACAATGTTATACCTCCTCATAAACATGTAAATTTAATGAACCAATATCCACATTTTCAGAATATTGGTGGACTTATATGAGGGCTGATCCAGATGGTTTAGATGAGATCCGCCGGCTATCTGAAGCTGGAAAAGTGAAAATACCCGTGGAGAAAACATTTCCCATTACACAAGTGAGAGAGGCTCATGAGGCTAAAGACAAAAAGAAAATCCCAGGTAAAGTGGTGCTGGAAGTTGATTGAATTGGATTCAACAAAAACACACTAACACTATAAACGACAGGATTTATAGGCTATCATCTCTTTTCTATTGGTTGTTTTTTCTCGTTGTATTTGAGTAGTTGATCTTGCTATGTGCAATAAGCAATCAGGCAGTGTTGTATAGATGGAAGTTTTGTGGGTGAAAACCATCCAGTTGGCAATCTGTAAATGTTTTGAGTACGTTCTTTTTGCCGAATTTTCTTTTTATCTTTCATTTTGCAACAATACGAATTTTGCACACGACTTTTATTAGATACTATATCTTAACAGTGTTCGTTGACTAATTCGATCTGGCAAACAATGAGAACTCAATTTGGCCAGGCAAGCAGAAACCCTACAAACATTAATATAGCAAATGACAGAGGTGATAGCTAATAAAAAAAAAAAACAAATTATCAGGTTACAGCAGCGTATATTTGTAGTTTGAGACTCGTGTCTAAATTGAATCAAGGGGGTGTTGCCATCCTTTTCTCTTGAGTTACTTGGGCATGCCATAATTTAACGAAATCAAAGCTGCTGCTTAGACTGGAAAGTTGCTCGATTGCTTGTAGTTTAAGCTTCAGAAGGTCAACTTCCTTTTGTATTAGAGAGTTGATGATCGATGCTTATACAAAGGGTCTTACGTGGAAAAATGCATGACAGGATAAGAACAACCACAGGACAGGTAGCGGAGCAGTTTAGTTTAGGCCTTGTAGCGTCCAATGCAGAAGGGTTAAGTTACCTTGATTTCTTGCTTCCGCTTTTCCTCTCTTACTGGCTTCTGCTCCGGAGCTTCTTTGAACCTTGTAAATTATAAGAGCTCCAGCAACCTAATTAAGGGGAGAGAGAGAGAGAGAATTCAGAAATAAGAGGTCTTAATTGACCTGTTATATTTGAGGAGTAAGAAACAAGTAATTGAACAATCAATCTAAAAGTAATTGTTAATTGCAGAAATTAAAAGGGTAATATTAGAGTTTTTTTTTAAAACAGGTTACTTATAAAACTTATTTATAAAAATAAGATTGTTTTAATCTTATTTACTAAAACAAGGTAATTTTTGCCACATAGATTAAATCTTTTACACAATTCAGTTTTTTTAATACAAATAATAAATCATTTAACACATCAGCTTTATTTTTTAAAAAAAATTTATGTTATCATTCTAAATTTTACGTTCTTCATCTTCCTGAACTGAAATTCCTTTGCTCAAGCCGCCAACTTGGAAATCCTTGGACTCCACACTTTGGGGCTAGGCAAACAAAGGAAATCAGGAAAGAGACTGAAGTTAGCTACTTTGCTTGGTGACTCCCTCAAGAGCAGGAACAGACCTGTTCTTCCTGCAATTCTTTGGCAACTCTTAGGTGGGTATTAGACTGATGGCGAGTGGGACTATTGCTGAATCAGAAATAGAAGAAGAAGAAGAAGAAGAAATAAAGTTGGATTTTATGATGGGAAGGTGAGAGTGCTAAGGGAAGATAAGATTGACTGCATTCTTCTTTTAATGCTCATAAGAATGCAGTCGTTTTGTGCAATTTTATAATATAAAGGAAGTAAAGAAGAATCAGTAAATCTCATTAACCTACGCTGGAGAATTAAAAGAAAATTCTAATCACAATTAAATAAATAAAAACAATAGAATTTAGAAAAGTACCTTAATTGATAATATAAATATTCTAGAGAATTTTTCTAATAATCGTGCTTTAGAACTATGAGAGTATTTGAACTTTAAGAAATTAAGGCAAAGACAACAAAAGAGAGACGAGATAGCGTAGTTAATTTTTACTTTTATGTTTCTAATTTTTTTAAATTATTATATTAAATATATATTATAACACTTAATTAGAAAAAAGATGACATGGATGCTTACATGGAAAAATTACCCCTTTTTTTATAAATAAGTTTAAAACTACCCTATTTTAGAAAATAAGATTAAAAAGTACTCTATTTAGGGAAAAAAAAATTCATAATATTACGGTGAAAAAAAAACTTCGCCAAGAATATCGACAGCAGCTCGAACGACTCTTTCCTCGTTTAGAGGGCGGGTCGAACATCGATGGCTCGCCCGTATATGCGCCTTTTGCAATGTTGTTGAAACCCGATGGTTAGCTCTGTTTCAAATAGCACCACTATGAACTATTAACTAATCCTGCGAGCACTACGAGATTTAGGTACCCATGCCATGCCTTAAAATTTTAAAGAAAATTAACAAAAATTATATTCTCACATTTGAGAAATTTTGTAATACTTAAGGAGTAATTAGTGGACATGTATAATAGTTATTTTATAGATCCATTTTTCAGGAGAGAGATAGACACAAAAAAAAAAAATCATATCCGAACTCACCAAAAGTGATTAGAAGATTTTTACGTTGGCTCAATTTTTTTTTTTTTTAACTTTCTCTCTTGTTTATGTCTATCTTTCCTATGAAGTAACTTATACTATTTACTCCTTGAGTATTATAAAATTTCTCTTCACTTTTGAGTCAAATTAATAAAAATTTGTAACAAATTATAAGGAATCTTTGCTTTTTAAATTTTTTTTCATTTTTGGTTTTTAGAAAGAATGATCTATTGGAGTATGCACCTAGAAGATCTCATCATAGGTCCGCGAAGCGAAGAATTTTCCCCTTTAAACATTCTCGTTACTTGGAAGGACTTGGAAACCAATTTGTTACTAGTTCCTCCCTTCATGTTTCTCATTCTCTTTTCTAGATTCTTTATACAATTAGAGAATTAGTTTTTTGGTTTTATTTGTATATATACCCCTAATGCACCGTTAATGATGTGAGAGAAAATGTTTCTTTCCATTTCTTATTTTGTGTACTATTTTTGTTATAGTATCCGAGCTCATTTTATGCTTCCTCTCGTTTCTTCTCCGACCGATATAACGACTAGTATTTGAATCTCTTCTTTGTTTCTTCTTTACTTTGTTCTTTGCTTTCATTGAAAGGAAACACCATGAACAACTTACCTACCTTTTTAAACCCGCCTCGCCCAACCGAGGAGCTCCCTTTAAGTCCATATTTCCTCCACTCAAATGAAAATCCAACCTCTCGTTCTTGTGTACACCCTCCTCATTGGACCCAACTACCATTGTTGGTCCATATCAATGCGTATAACCTTGCTATCCAAAAACAAAATCAAATTCATCGATGGTTCTATCTCAATGCATGATCGAAACCATGATCTTTACCCTTATTGGGAGCAATGCAACACCATGGTGCTATCATGGTCGCTACATTCAATTTCCGAATCAATAAGAAATAGTGTTCTCCGGTAAGACACCGCAAAAGACATTTGGGATTATCTTGAAAAGCATTGTTCTCGGGGTGATGTGTTTAGAATCTCCGATCTTCATAAGGAGCTTAATTCTCTTCATCCGGGCTCATTAACAATCTCCGAGTACTATACACACTTGAAGATATTTTGGGACGAGCTCACAAACCTCGGACCAATTCCAATTGTGTTTGTGAGCCAAAATGTTCATGTATTACACTCATTGTCATCCAAAATTATAGATCCAACGATTACATGATCGAGTTTTTAAAAGGATTGAATGATAGTTTTTCAACCGTCGGGTCTCGGATCATGCTACTCGGATCCATTGCCCTCCATCGTAAGGTCTTCGCTATGGCCTCTCAACATAAGAGACGGTTTATGTCTACTTCTAACTCCTCTTTTCCGATATTGTAGCCGGTGCCTTCTATGTCAACACCATATCCTCTAATTTTTCTCTCATAGTCGAGATGTCGGATTATTATGTTTCTACATATTCCTTCTTCGACAACACAAAGTCTTTCGAAACATACCCGGATTATCGATTCGGGAGCAACAGATCACATCATTTGTTCTCTTGATTATTTCACCTCTTATAAACTCGTTAATAATATATTTGTTAAGCTCTCTATTGGATAACTCACCTCTATCTCCCATATGGGTCGGATTAAGTGTTCAACTCGATTTCATTCTTCATTCTCGCTTTCTTTGTTCCTATTTTTTCTTTCAATCTTATATCCACTAGTAAACTACCTCTAACTCGTTGCATAATTTTAAAATATGATTATAGCATCATTCGGGACTCGGTATGTTGAAGGATGATTGGATTGGGTAAGCAACTCAATGGCCTCTATCAACTTGTTTATCCACGAGTTTCCCGAAGTGTAGCCCCTCCTACTTCGGAATGTTCTTCCTCTATGCATCCATTAATTCCGCAAAAAGTACTCCCCAAAAATATTTTATCACTTTCCATATCTAGCACAGCGGGCTAGGATATGCTTATCCACCTAGAATAAATTTATCGCAAAACATCAATCCTTCCATTACTCGTGAACCCTAATGTAATCTGTGACATGTCATTTTGCAAAACAAAAGAAGTTATATTTCCTATTAGCACTTCGTTACGAATGTATGTTTTGATCTCATTCATACTCGATATTTAGGCTCTCATACTTGTTAGCACTACTCAAGGTCATAAATATTTCTTAACCATTATTGATGAATTTAGTAGAGCTACATAGATCTTTCTTATGAAAGCTAAGTCCGAAGTCGAATGTTACTTTAAAATTTTTGCATTTTTGTTCAAACACAAATTCTCTATCTCTATCAAATGCATCGGATCGGATCAAGAAAAAGAATTTGACATGTCAAATTTCTATACAACTCATGGCATTATGGATCGGACCTCTTGTGATAGTGTGGTGGAAAGAAAACGTCAATGCATTCTCAATGTAGCTCGAGCCTTAAGGTTTCAAGCCCTTCTTCCTCTCTCTTTCCGGGTTGAGTGTGTTTTATATGTTGTTTACCTAATAAACAGAATACCTTCCCCTATCATCAACAACCATACCCCATTTTACATACTCTATCACAAAACACCTTGTTGCAATAATCTTAGAGTCTTTGGTTGCCTTTGCTTTACCTCTATAAATAATCGAGTGGAGATCAAATTTGACACAAGAGCTACCAAATGTATGTTCTTAGGTTTTCCCTATGGCACCAAAGGTTACAAATTATATAATCTTCAAACTAGATAGTTTCTTATTTCCGGAGACGTAATGTTCTATGAAACTGTCTTTCCTCTTCATTCTCTTTCCTTTTCTTATTAGGATCCCACTCACAATTATCCTTCAAACTCATCATACTTGACTTGTCCTTCTTTTGATTCTATTGACTTTGATTCTTCCCCTTCACATGATATATCCTCTCTCCTCGCTACTTCAATTTCAAGTACGGAATCATATACTTTTGATTCAATGCCTTATGTTCCTCTTAGAAGATCCACCGGACCTCACATTGCCCCCATCATACCTTCAAGACTACCATTACAGCCTCACAACATAACTGTCTCAATCCAATCCATCCTCTATAACTTTTTAACATAAAGTTTTTACAATTAACATTAGTACTCGGTCTACACCCACCACCTATAATCAAGCCATTAAACATTCTTGTTGGAGGGATACTATACGAGTAGAGATAGGCTGCTTTATAGGGTAATAACACTTGAAAAATTACCGACTTACCTCATTTCAAACATCTTATTGGCTGCAAATGGGTGTACAAGATAAAACAAAAAGCCGATGGCTCTATCGAAAGACATAAAGCTAGAGTTATGGCTAAAGGCTACACTCAACAAAATGGAATTGACTACCCGGAAACCTTCTCTCTTGTTGCCAAAATGACCACTCTGTTAGGACCCTTCTTGTTATCATTGCTACAAAGAATTGGTTTTTGCAGTAACTAGATGTCAATACTGTCTTTCTTTATGGAGATCCGCATAAAGAAGTATTTATGAAACTTCCTCCGGGTTTCTCTTCTCCTAAACTTAACCAGGTATGCAAGTTTCTCAAGTCCATCTATGGCCTAAAACAAGCAAGTATGTAGTGGTTTTCTAAGCTTTCAAAAGCTTTATTACTACAAGGCTTCAAGCTAACACAATCGGATCACTCTCTATTTACCAAATCAATTGAATATGGATTCATTGCAGCTTTAGTATATGTTGATGATATGACACTTGCTAGTGATAGTATGGATTACATGATTAACTCAAAATGTTCCTTCATGATAAAAGACTTGGGGAATCTACATTTCTTTCTTGGCCTAGAAATAACTCGAACAAAATCAAGCATCAACCTATGCCAACATAAATATACTCGGAGTTGCTCGGTGACACTGAATTTCTTCACCGCAAACCCGCCAAAACACCAATACAACCGAAGACACCATTGACGAAAGATAATAGTGATCTTCGAAAGATAGTACGTCCTATAGGAAGTTGATTGGGAAGTTGTTATACCTAAATACCACTCGTCTTGACATCTCTTTTGCTATCCAACAACTCTTCCAATTTCTTGATCACCCTACTCAATCACATTTG